AGCCTCCCCGCTGCGGCCCGGCCCGGCTGCAGGCCGGGCTCACACGCAGCCTCACGGGGCAGGCGCCGCCTTCTGGCGTGTCCCCACTTCTGTGCGTCACTCCGGGGGAGCAGCTCGACGGGGCGTGGGGCGGTGAGGCTCGGGCTGCAGGCCGGGTCCCACGAGCGGAGACCGCGTGCCGGGCGAGAAGCGGCCGCGGGTGTCCTGCAGAGGGCGGGAGCCCGGGAGACGGAGGGCCGGGCCGGGCGGCAGGACGCAGGGAGGGTGCGCGGCCTCTGGTCCAAGGCCACTGTGGCCCGTGGCCACTCCCGGGCAGGCTGGGCCTCGCCCGAGACCCATGTCTGAAATCAGTGGGCCTAGAGGGGCCAGGAAAGCCGTCCCACAGGCCGCGGCCCCGACAAGCCCGACAAAGGAGCAGGCGCCTCGCGGGGCCCAGGCCGGTGTGGGGCCCTGGGCTGGGCGGCTCCGGGATTCCCGGCCTGGAGGGTGCCCAGCGCGGGTGACGGCAGGCAGATCGAGGGGTCCTCTGAGCACCCCGCTGCAGCCCCCCCAAGCTGCACGCCGGCAGGTCGTCCAGCTTGCAGATGGTGGCGCCGCCGGCCCAGCCCCACGGCAGGGATTTGCTGTGCAGAGGAAGCAGCTGATAAGCGAGCAGAGGCCAGAGCAGAGTCCTGCAGGGTGAAGGCATTTGGAGGCAGCGGCCGGAGGAGCCTTCCGAGGGGCTGGCCTTCGGCAGCCCCCTGACAGGCCGCGGGAGTGGCCGTGCAGAGGCCCCGTGGCGGCCTCGTGCTGCGAGGGGGCACCGGCCAGCCGGCGGAAGCAGCCCCCCACGCCCCCTCCGTCCGGTCTTGATCACGCGGGAGCTTCACGCACACACACTACCTGCGCGCTGGCCGCCAGGTCCCTGGCCAGGGCTGGTCTGTAGTGGCAAGGTCTAGCGAGGAAAGGCTTGCCCGCCAGTGCCAAGGGCAGCGTGGCAGAGGGGGCCCGCCGGGCCGCTGTGGAATCACGCCCCCACTCGGCCCTGGCAAGCCCCCGGG